AAACTGGACCGGAGGGCCGGAACAAAAGCATGGATGGAGTGTTTGTGCGAACTAATATAAATTCAAAGTAAACATCATTACATAAAAGAGTACGGTCTTTTTTTTTTTTTTAGTTTTATTCATTTCAAATGGGCCGGATCCGGCCCACGGGCCATAGTTTGCCCACGGCTGGTTTAGAACATGCTGCCTTTGGGAGAGGGTCAAATGGGGACAAAGTGGCTTTTAATAAGTATGTTTCAAACCTCAGCATAAGGACAAAATCCCTTTAACTCCAGGTTGAATCCTACCCACCTCACTAAGTGGTCATAGCATCTGGACTCTATAACTGTTGTGTTTTTTTTTTTAATACTATAAAATTATTCAGATATCTGATCCAGCATTAAATAAGCATAGACTTTGCAAAGGAGAAGGAAAAATGATGGAAACACCTTTCTTTTGGACAGATCTTAAGACCAGAGAATGGCAGGTGAACAGAAACCCTCAAGTAACCTCCTGGAACAGTTTATTTTACTAGCCAAAGGTACTAGTGGCTCAGCCCTCACTGCTCTCATAAACCAAGTCTTGGAGGCTCCTGGAGTCTATGTCTTTGGAGAACTGCTGGAGCTGGCCAATGTGCAGGAGGTAAGAACAATTTCTCTATCTTCTTTATTCTAAGCCTTCATTTGAGTCTCCAGGTTTCCAAGGAATTTCAGTGCCAAAGCATTGTGCACCTGTGAGGAACCCTGTTGAGGGAGAGATGGGAATTGGTGGGACAGGGGAAGAGAGCAAGGATAATGTCTTGGATTCCTTCTAGTCAACATTTTCATCTGAACTTGAGGTAAAATTAGATTGGGTTGCTAATCTAATTTTGTAAGATAGGGAAAAGATCCAATTAAACCTCGTAAGTTAGAAACATAGAGTTTAATCATAGACTGATGTTTAATGGGTAATTTCAGGCATTCTTAAGGATAAAACCTCCAGTGCAAATATAGACAAGGAAGACTGGTCAGGTGTATAATAGCAGAAAATGTTTGCTGTTGAACCTGAGATAGGCATGAATAAGGAATGTATTTTTCCTGTGGAAAAGGGCAATGTTGTGTAGCTGTGTAAAGTAGATGTATAAAAAGGATATGACTGGCAAGCTGTGAAGTCCTTTTTGCTTGTTTGCTTCTTTGTTTGATTGTAGTTATTAAAACCTTGGGTATCCAGTTTTGGTTGTTGTGCCTTAAAAATGAGATGATCCAGTGAAGAATGACCAGGTGGAATAAAGGGATGTAAAGCAACCTCTACTTTTCAACTTTACTTCCCACTTTGGATACTTTTATATGGTTGTCCCTCGGTATCCTTGGGGGATTGGTTCCAGGACCCCCCTCTGATGCTCAAGTCCCTTGTATAAAATACACAGTGTTTGCATATATAGCAGGGCATGCTATCACATCACTTCATTCACAGGGATTCAGCATAGTGCTTGGTGTGTGGCTAAATTCAAGGCTTCCTTATTGGAACTTTCTGGGACTTTCCCCCTGAAATATTTTTGGTTTGTGGTTGGTTGAATCGCCAATGTGAAACCTCTGGATATGGAGAATTACTATATTTATTTATTCATTGATATTTTTATACTTATTGATTGAGATAGATAGCAGTCTGGTGGCATCGTTATTACTTTGGGTGTTGTGTTCAGGCACTCTTGGTGGGGTGGGTTGGCTTCCTTTTCTCCATCACAGCTTCTTTCTGGCTGCCAGGATGGTGCTGGTTCTGCAGCTGGCTTCCATCCACAAATCTGGGCAGTACTTGTTCTTGTGGATTGTGTGCATGATGAGGCTGAGGGTGGCCTGGTATTCTCATTTTTGGTGGTCCACATATAAGAGGTGGTTGTCTTTTTTTTTTTTTTATCCTCACTTGAAGATATTTTTTTTCTGTTGGTTTTTAGAGGGAGTGGAAGGGAGGAAGGGGTGGAGGCGGGGAGAGAGAGAAAAAAAACATTAATATGAGAAACACATCAATTTGTTACTCCCTGCAGGAGCCCCGACTGGGGCCAGGGAATTTGCAACCCAGAAATGTTGACCAGAACCAAATCTGTGACCCCTGGGTATGCGGGCTAACTCGCTTACCTCTGGGCCCACCAGCCAGGGCGGAGGCCGTTGTCTTTTGTTGGCTGGTTCTTCACGTCACGACCACTAGGACACTTCTGCTGTTGGCTGCTGGCTCCACACCTACAGCTTTGTGGTGAATCAGCCCGTTGTAGTAGGAGTTGCAGGCCTTCAGATGACTGGACTTGCTGCTGTACATCTGCTTGTTCCTCTTAATGAGGATACTGGAGCAGCTCCCTATGACCATCCACTGTAGGCACGTGGACATAGCGTCATTTCTTCTCCCTGCAACAGCTGGAGACCAAAAGAGCTGCTTTTATTTTTTTAATTGTGAGTTTTTTTAATATCAGTGTTGTTGAGACTATGCTCCATTGTGCTCACCCTTGTTTCCTTACAGCTTAATATGTAGACTGACACACTGGGCTTTCAATACAAATTTAATATATCAGAGAAGGAAAAGGAATGCTATGAGAAAAATGGAGGAGAACTGGGTTCTTTTTAAAAAAATAGACTTTATATTTTAGAGCAGTTTTTAAAAAAATATTTTTATTGATTTTAGAGAGGAAGGTAGAGGAAGAGAGAGAGAGAAACATCAATGATAGAGAATCACTGATTGGCTGCTTCCTACACATCCCACACTGGGGGTCGAGCCCACAACCCGGGCATGTGCCCTGACTGGGAATTGAACTGTTATCTCCTGATTCATAGGTCAATGCTCAACCACTGAGCCATGCTGGCAAGGCTAGAGCAGTTTTAGATTCACAGCAAAATTGAAAGAAAGGTAGAGATTTACCATATATCCCCTGCCCTCACACATGAATAGCCTCCCCCGTTACCAATATCCCTCACCAGTGTGGAGCCTGCATTAACACATCATTATCACCCAAAGTCCATAATTTACATTGGGTTCATTCTTGGTGCTGTACATTCTATGGGTTTGAACAAATGCATAATGCCATGTATCCCCTATTAGAGTATCATACAGAGTAGTTTCACTGCCCTAGAACTCCTCTGTATTCTTCCTGTTCATCACTCCCTTCCCTCTAACCCCTGGCAACCACTGACTGACCTATGTACTGTTGTTGTAATTTTGACTTTTCTATTATGCTATAGAGCAGTGGTCGCCAACCTTTCAGACTTCACGGACCACCAGTTGGCGACCGTTGCTCCAAAGGTTTCCTTAAACCAGTGGTTGCCAAACTTTTGGACCTCACGAACCACCAGTGGTCCTCGGACCACCAGTTGGCAACCGTTGCTATAGAGGGAATCATATAAAATGTAGCTTTTTCAGATAGGCTTCTTTCACTTAGTAATATGCATTTAAATTTCCTCTGTGTCTTTTCATGGCTTGATAGCTAATCATTTAAATAGAAGAAATGACTAAGGGATAATCTGTTCCTTCAGGTTCATAAAAAGCCTGAAAGAATATGCTGACTAGTTGTTTTGTAATTGTGAAAGATTGGCTAAGAGGAGATGGATGAAAATTAAAACTGGAAAGACCTTATTGATTTGGGCCAGTGGGAGAAGTTTTGGAGCATCTGCTCTAGAGGAAATAGTCTGTTACAGCTAGTTTTGTAATCATCTGTTTGAAAAGTGGAGATTGGATTAGATGGTCTCTTCCACCTCTGATTCAGGACCTCAGGAGATTGTTAACAGACCTGAAAAGGTAGACTGGGATATTAGGATGCTTGCTCTAATTTGGGGTGTTTAACAAATCCCCTTTACCTCCCCGTAGTTTGATTTGTTTTTTCCATATGTAAGCCTGGAATAAGCTAGTTGACTTACAGTGGTTTGAAATTACAAATGTAGTTTCTTGGAAACCTTTAATAAACTTAATAAAATGCTTTTATTGATTTCAGAGAAAGGAGGGAAGAGGGATAGAAACATCAATGATGAGAGAATCATTGATCGGCTGCCTCCTGCACACCCCCTACTGGGGATGGAGCCTGCAATCCTGGGCATGTGCCTGGACTGGGAATCGAACTATGACCTCCTAGTTCATGGGTTGATGCTCAACAACTGAGCAACACTGGCCAGGCTTGGAACCCTTTTTTAAAAGGTGGTTAAAATTGATTAGTATTTCATTGGTGTCCATAGAATAACTTGGGTTTTCCTGTTTAAACTTCACTGAGTTTGGTAAATTGGAAGAGTAACAGGTCCATATTTGTGAGTAAAAGAAACACCCAGTTAAGGTAATTGACAGCAGAACATTTCAGGAAGAATACATTCTCTTTTGTTCTTCTTCTAAAGAAAGCTCTTTGACACCAACATTAGTGAGGAATAAGTAATTTTAATGAAAAGTTTTACTTAGGGTTGCCTGATATCCTGGTTTCTTGTCCCAACCTGGCTCTTCTGTCGCACCTTATGCTGTGCTCATCTCTCCCAGCGTCACAGTCCACATAGAGTCCTGAAACTTGGAACCAACCCTACATTTTGTTTAATTTGGATTGATAGTGGCTCATGCTGTACCTGCCAAGATGGTATGTGGACAAGGTTTCTCCAGTGTTCATTTTAATGGCAAGGGAATCTTGAGAAAACTTGAACTGCTTCTAATACTTACTGCTTTGTGTATCTGTTGAAGCAAAAGCAGTTCCTTGGGCATGCTATGTGAAGTGTAAAGAAAGGAATTCCTGAGAGAGAAAAGTTAAATTGGGGGCTTTACTAATCTTAATACTTTTTTCCCAAAGAAAGAGTTGGAAGGGACCAGCTAATAGAATACAGAACTGTGGCACATGTCACCCGCTTTCTGCTTGAACACTGCAGTGATTGATAGACAGCTTGGTCTCTGAACTGTTTCTTTCCCTACTCAGCTTGCAGAAGGAGCTAATGCTGCGTATTTGCAGTTGCTGAACCTGTTTGCCTATGGGACATACCCAGATTACATAGGTGAGTTGGTTAAGATCCTCCAAAGACTGTTCTCAATTATATCCCTCTGTTTAGATGTGTTGCCTCCCAGAGGATCACCGAGGTTTGGGATGTCAAGGATGGGGTGGGAACTTCCTGACCTGGCTGTTGCCCATTTTACTGTGCTCTGTCGGTGATCTTATATGAGGACTCTTCCTTCTCACCTTTTATTTCTTAATGAGTAAAATGGGGACTATGTTTATGCTTGTCCATAAATATAGCCCTTGTTTATTTTCCAGGTGAGATTCTTGATGACTGGTGTTTGTAGAACACTTGGAGTGTTGTGAAATGTCAGAATACCCACTTGTAAAGTATTTAAACATTTTAAATATTATAAAAATAATATTGCTAAACTATATTGAAGAAAATTTGGAAAATAGAGGGCAAAAGTCACTCATAGTTGTACCAGTGTTAAACTGCTGTTAGTGTTATGGTGCTCGGTTTTCCCCCTCTGCTTGGGTTTTCTATTATGTAGGTGTGATTAGATTATGTACACAATTTTATATCTTGCTTTTCCCCCCCACTTGTTTCATAGGCATTCATGTTTTAAGTCTGTGAAGTCATTTTTAGTATTTCACAATCTCCTACTCCATAATTGACTTAGTCCATTCTCTTCTGTAGGTAATTTGAGTCATTTAAAATTAGAATCATAAATATTAGGAATGAGGTGCATGCATGTCCAAATGCTAACTTACCTCCCACCCAAGCCATTTTTGTCTGGCTTCCCTGGCTTATTTTAGCAGCATGACAAAGGTCTGGCAGTTTATTTTAGTGGTGTGACTCAGAACATTCCCTACTATATCCCTGACTTACCCTCTTTCTTACTCTCTTTCTTGCTTCTTACTTCTGCTTACTCTTTGCTGCTGTCAGACTGTATAGTTTCCCACTTGCCAGTTTTCCCTGACCTTCACTTTGTTCCAATGAGTGTGTCCTCTGTTTCTGCCCTCACTGTAGAGGCAGAATTGCACAGACTCTGGAACCAGACTGCCTGCATATTCTAGCTCCACTTCCACTGGTCATGTCATTGGAAAATTAAATAATCTTCTCTGCCTCAGTTTCCTTCTCTGTAATAATCCATGTCCTCTACCTGTACTCCTTGGGCGAGATGTTTCAGAATTTAGAATTTGTGGGAATTAAAAAAGGTAATATAATGCATATGCATTTTTATGTAACACCCTTGAGGGGTGTGGGCAGCACCTGTAGTCAAACACAATCATAATTTGTTTAATCCTCACCCAAGAATATGTTTTCTATTGATTTTTTTAGAGAGAGAGAGGAAGGAATTGAGAGAGAGAGACAAATAGACAGACAGACATCGATGTAAGAGAGAAACATCATCAGTATCTCCCCTATGTGCTCTGATCAGGGAGTGCACCTGCAAGCTAGGTATGTTCCCTGAGCAGTAATGGAATCTCAACCTTTTGGTGTATGGAACCACATTGTAGGCAACTGAGCCACCCGCCAGGGCTGCCATCATAGTTTGTAGCAAAATAAGTGAATGTTCACAACAAGTGGGATAAAAAGCCCACCTTAATTCAGGTCAGGAATTGCTAACAGATCAATTTTAGTACCATGCTCAAGGGGAAAAAAAAGCAGTTTGGATTCACCCTTTTGGAGTCCAGTATTATGGATAAGGAATTGAGAGCATTTAGAATCTATCTCATGAGGTTGTTGTGAGGACTGGATGTGTGTATGTGCCTCTGGATCTGTGTGTGCATCTACACTAAGTTAAGCTTGTCCTGTATGTTACCTGTGGCTGCCGCCATGGCTATTGTTAGTGTCATTGCTATTACTGAAATTTTGCCCATCCTTCAAGGCTCATCTCAAACTCTGTTTCTTTCCCCCCCCCCCTCCTGTATCTCCTAATGTGATTGGACTCACTTGCTCTTTCTCCTACCTCTTATCCCCCTTTCCTAGCTTTGCCTCTCTCTTTCGCCCACATCCCTTCCCCCTCTCTTCCTCACCCTTTTGCTCTCTTGTGGTAGTTTGGACCTTCTGTTAGTTCTGCCTTGCATTTGTAGCTGTTGAAACATGTACTTGTAACACTGAGGGTAAGTCCAGGGCCACTGAGTTGCATAGTTCCAGGTGGTTGGTGCCTCTGGAGATGTGTAGTGCAGCAGTCCTGACAAGGCCCATCTTATTTATCCTCTGTGCCCCTGAATCATTTAAAATTGTGCCTTGCACATAACAGATGCTCAGTGAAGATGTGTTGAACTTGATTGAATGTCACAAAGGGTACAAATAGTACTATTCCATTAGGATAATTTGTCGTCATTTTGTGCATTCATGCCTGGATTTTCAGGAGTTTAAGCTCCTTGTGTGTAGAGAGTGAGTCTTGTCTTCTTTGGAAGCACATGGTCTTCCAGAGAAGACAGGAGGTGCTCATGGAACATTTGCCTAATGAATAAGTGCAGAGTCATGAGTGACTTAGTAGTAGATTTGGTGTGAGGAAATGGTGTGTTTATTCCATAGAGAAATCCTAATTTTATTTTGTGTCTTGATTTTTGTGGTGGGTGGGACTGAGCAGCCAACAAGGAGAGCCTGCCAGAACTGAGCACAGCTCAGCAGAACAAGCTGAAGCACCTTACCATCGTGAGCTTGGCATCGAGAATGAAGGTACAGTTCTGAACCCTTTCCTGTCTCCTCCCCTCAAGGCAGGTCTGTTATTGGCATAAATGTGGGAATTCCCAGCTACATACAGTAGAGTCATAGGATTTGCTCGGCAAAGGACAAAAGATAATTAAAATAGTGTTGACAATTACTCACCCTCCCATTTAGGAAAAATATGCCCAGGAGTGATAGTGAATCAGCAGATCTCAGTTCTGGCATGCCGTGGTGCCTCATGTGGTGTGAATATTTGCCATTCCTAAAGGGAGACTGCTGTCTAAAGATAGGTATTTTTCAAACAGCAGGGCATCTCAGGGCAAGCGAACCACTTCATTTGTTGCTCAGTGTACAGTGAACTGTACTAATGCTGGAGGACAAACTTGCTATGTTGGACTTACTGAGAAGTAATTTTTAATATGCTGCCTTCCTCTAGGGATTTTCTTCTTATTTATTTTTGTTAATCCTCACCTGAGGATATTTTTCCATTGATTTTTATAGAGTGGAAGGAAAGGGGAAAGACAGAGTGAGAGAAACACAACAAATGGTTGCCTCCCACATTGGGACTAGGAGTCGAGCTGTAACCAAGGTATGTGCCCTTGATCAGAATCAAACCCGGGGACCCTTCAGTCTGTGGGCCAACACTTTATCTACTGAGCTAAACCGGCCAGGGCCCTTTGGGGATTTTCAAGATTAATTATACTAATTGGAGTTTTTGCGTTACATGCTAGCTTTAGACTCGAACCTTCTATAAGATGTCACTCCATTATATCTGAGTTTACCCCCACTCACTTTAGCAGCAGCCTTGCAACCAGCTGCTCATAGTCATTAACAAAGAAGATCCAGATTAGGTTAGCTGATAGTTGATTTGGCTCTTTGCCCAATCCCAGCCTGAGTAAATTTTTGTGGGGCTATGCTTTGAAGAAGTTGCTTTTGGATTTCCCCTCTGTGATGGAGCTTGAGAGGTATATGTTTGTTCTTGTATTGCCATTTCAGTTGCTGAAATCACTTTACCTTATCTAATCACAAACTTCTGATTCTTAGCCTGACATTTCAGAGGGGAGACCAATTTTGTTAGGAAATGATGACCTGACTGTTACTTATTTATATTTTTGTCCTGATCATGGACTTCTTAAGTGTACCAAAGAGTAGTAGTAACTTTTTCCTTTATTTTTGCAACCTGTCATTGTAAGTTCACCTATCGCCTCTGGATTTCAGACCTTTAGTCATAAAAAACCCCTCTAGGTAGGTGTGCTCTCTTCTCTGTATCCATTTCCTCCTGTCAGTTTCTGCAGATTTGATCACTATGTTAATTTCCAGACGTAATGTGTCAGGATTTGCAGAAAACTGGATGTTTAGATATCCAGTTGTCTTCGAGTCATGCAGAATGTTGGTACAGCTGAATAAAGGACTGTTGTTGGGAATTGACATTGGTTACAAGAGTCTGAGAAAACAACTGTAAACTTGAGGATGACTGAGCTGGCTGTACTGCTGGCCACCTGTAGTGGATGTGTTAGCCTGCATGTGTTTTTGCTTGTGCCCTCAGTTTTCCTCGCCAGCATCTGAGATTGTTTGGAGTTTTGTGATGAGCTGGCATTTTATGCAAAGTCTGCAAGCTTTCAGAAGGTGGCAGAGTGGCATATACCAAGTATATACCAAGTATTTCCCTTTCTCTTCTGGAAAGTCTTTAGGATCCCAAAAAGTTTGCTTCAGAGCATGAAAGCTGAAGGTGGGGCAAAGTCCAGGAGGCAGAGAATCTTGGAGAATGCATTTCTAGATGGGCTATGGGATTTGTTTGGATCCCATTGGTCTTATAGCTCATTTATCCATCTCTTGTTGCCATAGATGTTAATAATTATCATTACACTGCATTTCCCAAAGCCCAGAGGCAGCTGTTGGCTATGTCGGTAATACTTGCATTTCTTTAATGTTTGCCAGTGGTTTTTGTAAATATCACATGGCCTTATCTGCAGTGTATCCCCTACTCCGTGCTGCTGAAGGACCTGGAGATGCGGAATCTCCGGGAACTGGAAGACCTCATCATCGAGGCTGTCTACACTGACATCATCCAGGGCAAGCTGGACCAGCGAAACCAGCTTCTGGAAGTGGACTTCTGCATTGGCCGTGACATCCGAAAGAAGGACATCAATAATATTGTCAAGACCTTGCATGAGTGGTGAGGCTGAAAGATGGAGGGGTCACCTCTCTTTAGGGAGGGGGATAGCTAGCCTCTGCTTGGGGAAATATGGTCTCCAGGTATTAGCTGGAGCTCCGTGGGAGCTGGGGTCTTAGGATAGTAAGGCAGAGAATTAGGGGCTACATTTGTGACTATAGCTGTGTGGCAACAGGAATCATTTCAGGCCTCCTAGTGCCTTGGTTGTAAAATAGTTCTTGTCCTAGTTGAGCTGGGGACTATTTAATGGTGGGCTGTAAAATGCCCAGGGTTGGCAGGTGGAGCCTCTGAAGCCTAGCTATGTGACATGGACCCTGTGCTTTGCAAACTCAGGAAGTTAGTGTTGGTAAGATTCTTTGGGTAAGAGAAACCATGTTCAATATCAGTAACATTGGGCTAGTGTTTATAAAAACATTGTGAGAGGTAGTGAAGACAAGGAATGGGTTATTCTAAGTTGGAACACAGATTCACACTATATTAATGTGACTATAGTCTGGTATATAAAAAGAAGTGGGATATTTGCACGTACTCTATTTTAATAGAATTTGATGTGTGCAAGAACTATTTCAGGTTCTACAAGGGTTTGTTATGAAGTGATATAAATGATTTGGGGTTTATAAAGCCCGATGGGCTTAGTTGGAGATGAGGATTTAGCTGAGTTTTAAAGTCTTCAAAATACAAGGTTTTAGAAAATAATTTTTTCTCTCAAGACATGTGTAAACTCTCTCCTAATTCCTTTTGTCTTATGATGTGTAAAATTTTCCCATGGGATACAGAACTTGGAGATTAAGGCTGTATTCTAAGAAACTACCCCACATCCTCCTCCATATTTGTCTCTTTGTGCCCTATGTTATATGCCCTGTTTAGAAATGCTTGTCTTTTGGAAAGAGTATGGAGATAAGAACCCTGGCAGAGGGGGTGTTACAGAAAGCCCTTGTAAGGAGTTGGGAGGGAGATTTTGGAGTCTGCAGGAGAGCTCCCAGACCTTTATGTGACTCAGGATTGGCTATCTCCTTTGCAGGTGTGACGGCTGTGAAGCAGTTCTGCTAGGCATTGAGCAGCAAGTTCTGAGAGCCAACCAGTACAAGGAGAACCACAGCCGAACTCAGCAGCAGGTAGAGGCAGAGGTAAGGAAGAGAATTTTGTTCCCCTGCTCCAGGGGATCCCTGTTTGTTCCTTTATCTTGTGAGTCTTGTTGTAGATGAAGTAATCAGTCATCAACAAACAGGCACTGGCTGGGTGCTGGGGTAAAAGTGAGTGTGACTACTTAAGTTAGTATTATTATTATTTTTTTTAAAAGAGCCAGAACACATGGGTTTGTAATCAATGGCTCCCTGATGCAAAACATGGCTACGGAGACCCCTGCTGACAGAACCTGATGCTGCCACCAGGTGGCGGTAGGAATTAGATGAAGTTCAAGAGAAAGTAATTTGCAGAAAAGGCTAAAGATCCCTTAATACCAATCTACTGATTTACTAGTAATCAACTTCTAGGAAATCTGGAACAGACCACTATGAGAGGAAAGGGAGCATGATCAAAGCCTAGAGCCTTGCCAGTTTTTCTAAAAGTCGATTTTTAGAGAGGAAGGGAGGGGAGAGAGAGAGAAACATGGATGTAAGAGCAGAATGTTGATAGGCTACCTTCTTTCTGCATATCCCCAACTGGAGATTGAGCCCACAGCCTGACCTGGGCTTGTACCCTGACTGGGGATTGAACTGGCAATTTTTCAAACTGGCAGCCTTTTGGTGCACAGGACGATGCTCAAACAACTGAGCCACACCGGCCAGGGCAAGTTTTTTCATTCAGTAAATGATGATCGGAGTACTTAGTGTAGGTTGTTGATTGTTCCCCAGCAAAGGTTCACTAAATATTTGTTGACTAGAAAAGAAAATAAATCTACAAAGAACAAAAGTATAATTCTTGTTATATTCTGTTGGTATTTATGCTTCTGTTACACTTGACCTATTTTTTTAGCCATTCTATCAGCTGAGTTGGTGATCTTTCCTTATTTGTCCTTAAGTTAGATTGCTTTTTCTAAGAGGGAAAACTTGATGTTTCCCCCTCAAATTCTTATAACAGCAGCTTCCCTTTGGTGAGTTGTAGCTTCAAAAATGTTCCCTCTTAGTGCAGTCAGCTCTATCACTTATTGCCTAAGAATATTCTCTTCCTTTCACAGAAATAACACATATTAATAAGTTACAATTCTAGCAAAGCAGGGGAAGATAAAGTAATAACATTGTGATCTGTTTCATGGTCTCTAAAGCATCAGAGCATCTCCTTATTTGTATTTGACTTTGGAGCATGTTTTTCTTCATATTTGTATGTGCATATGTCTGGTGTTGTGTGGAATGTTAATATATATAACATTACATTTATAAATTAGTTTGTTTGAGTCACGTAGGTAATAACGTGTAATTGGACAAAGTAAGCCCAGTTTTCCATGACGCAGAAAATCCCCCAGGAGTTAGTTTAGTGACAGTCTTGAGGCTTGTTGGCTGCTAGAGCTCACCAAAGGGTGCCTCCTGGTTCCTCCTGGAGAGTGTTCTCTCCATCTCCCAGCTCTTTCCCACTGTGGACTCTGCTTCATGTTATCTACCTTTGCTTTGCCTCACAACTGAGTGATGTTTTTCTACCCGGGAAGCTCTTCTCTCTTCTTTTACCATGTAAGAGGAAGAGGTACTGCTAGGCAAGTATAGATGGGAGGCAGGTCTGTGTGGGCTAGAGTGGTCAGGGCAGGTTTGTGGGAAAGGTGCTTGACTACAGGGAGGGTCAGATGTCTAGCTAAGGAGAAAGCTTGCCCAGGATAGAATAACAAGGTGCTTCAAAGGCGAGATGAATGACTGCTCCGGCCGAGACACAGTGGACTGGCATGGCTTGACTGAAGAATGTGTGTTGGGGGAAGGAAGGTACAGGATCATGAGTGGTGTTTCAGATATGGAGAGAGAACCAAGCTTTCTCTTGGGGATACGTCTCATTTCTTTTCCTTGCATGTGACCAGGGTCACTGAGCACCCAAAATAAGGGCTTATTGGGAGGGCAGTACTTGAGGAGGCATTTGAATGAAAAGGAGACAGGATGAGGGGGGCGAAGGGGGGGGGGAGGTTGTGCTTTTGTCTGTTTATTTGGTGAAAAGCTTTTGACAGGATCCTGAATCAAAGACTTTTACAGGGAATTGAGTTACCAAGAGATGGGGAGTCTGCATTACCCTGGTGGGGAGTGGTGGTAGGGATGGGAAGAGAACACAAATGGGCCCTCTGTGAATGGAGCGGGGTGAGAGCCTGTGACATCAGATTACATTAAAGGATGTGAAACTGAGAGTGCTGAACTTTTTTTGGGGAAAAAAATATATATAGCAAAAGAGGCAAACAGCAAAGTGTTTTAGTCAGTTGAACTGGGGGTCTGTTGAGAGGCTGATGGGAGAGCTGTCTTGGTGAGTGGGGTGCATGTGCTATAGGGCCAAGTCTGCTGGTTGTGCTGGCAGGTTAGGAACTGAAAGCTCATTTCTAAGACTGTCCTCCACAGATATTCACAAAAGTGTGCAAAGGTAAACATAGAAGGCTGTTGTAGGAGCTCTGTACTTGGTGAATAACAAACTGGGAGCTAATTTGATGATAGAACATTCATAGCAGAATAGTACAGGGATGGTACAGAGAATGTGTATTCTGACATGGGAAAGTGTTCAGGAGTTGCTTAAATAGATTTGAGCCCCTCCTTCGTTAAGTGAAGAAAGGTATCCTGAAAACAGTAGGGTGATAGCATTTTGCTAGTTTTTTACTACATTTTCGCCATTTATCAGTTAGGTGGCTGAAGTTCAACCTCTAGTTGTTTATTCAGGAAGCGCTCAGGGAGCAGAATCCCCAGAGTTCTTGTGGGAATATTTGGTTTCATGAACAGTAGCAATCAAATTCTTTGTCACTCTTTCTTTTTCGAAGGCCATTTTAACCACTGCTTTCTTTCACTTCTTTGCCAAATGGTCCACTTCCACATGGCTTTCCCCCTCTTTTCAACGAAGCAGGCATTAGTTCCACTTTTTTGCTTGACTCATTTCCATATATCTCCCATGAGTAGCCCCAGCTTGTTTCTCCTCATCTGGGTTTCTGAAGGTAATTTCAGATTTTCTTGCAGAGGATTCTGGCTGCTTCCTTAGGTGGCCCCTATTATAATGAGAATGAGTTTCAGGTGCTTACAGAAGGCACACACAAATTTTGTGTCTCCCTCCAGGTTACCAACATCAAGAAGACCCTCAAGGCCACAGCATCTTCCTCAGCTCAGGAGATGGAGCAACAACTGGCCGAACGGGAATGTCCCCCTCACGCCGAGCAGAGGCAGCCCACCAAGAAGATGTCCAAAGTGAAAGGTCTGGTTTCCAGCCGCCACTAGGGCCGGCTGGGGCAGCTGGCACTCACCAGGCCTGGGCAAGTGGGGAGGGGACACCTAGGGCCTATTTCCTCCTCTCTCTACCTTCAGTGAGTTCCAGACCTGCCCGTCCCCTCACCAGCGCCTCCCCATCCTGTTGGTACTGTTCCAGAAGAACCGTTAACTCCTTTCCCTCGCCCACACCCTCCTTCCCCAGTTGTTCCCTTCAGACTCAGGGGCTCCACTGATGCCATCCCAACAGGGTCAACACTGCCCAGCTTCCCTCCAGGAGGTTCTTATCTCTGTTTAAGGGCTTGTCTCTCCCAGTTTTTCTTTTGCTCCATGTCATTTGGTCAGGCTGGTCATAGCCAGAGGCAGCTTTAACCGGCCCACAGGGATGACTGCAAAGGAGGCTCCTCTGAGTGAGGAGGGGGCACTCCTCCAGCCCCATGTACCACAGTACCCACAATGGTGCAGGCACTCTAGCCAGGTATCAAAATGCTTTGTTTTCCCTCCCCTGCCTTGTCCCTCGTTGATAGCTCCAATCCGGCCATGGAGGGATGTGATGCTGGGCTATGTTTACTCAGCCTCTTAAGCCCAGCTCAAATCTCTCATTAGTTGGGAGCACTGAGTTAACTGATGTCTGGTATCCGAGCACCAGTGGAGGGTGCTCTGGGTCTGCTCGGTGGCAGAAGTTTCTTCCAGCTTGGTGTTCTCTGCTGCCTGACTACTCAGACTGGTTTTCGGTGTGGAGGCCCAGCTGCCCACTGGGACTGTCTGCCAACACTTGCTCTCCCCAGATCTTTAATTACTCCTGGCTGCATCTGTGGTGGGGACAGTGGTGCTGAGACCCAGCCTGCTGGGGAAGGACCTGTTGCTGCTTCTGTCTGTTTCTTTCCACCCCTCCTTGGCTGATGACCCAGAGCCCTCTGATGATGGCATTCTCCTGGCAAGAGAAAAGGACTTGACTAGCCTTTCTGAACTTGAACAGTTTCAGGTTATATTTTAATTTTTTTTTTTTGTACAGGTTCTGATTCTAATACATTTCAACATGCCTTTTTCCCCCCTCGTGTCAATATTTGTTACAGATCGCCGGGGATTTTTCATTTGCTTGGAGGGTGGCGCGTGTGTGTGTGTGTGTGTGTGTGTGTGTGTGTGTGTAACGGGAAGTGGAGGTCTGGACTAATATTAAAAGTTCACGGAGGGGAAAAACACATTTTAGAACAAAAAATAAAGTGTAGTTATTATGTGACTGGTGTGCGGAGTTGCATAGCTGGTACATCTGGAGGAGATGGGAGCAGGGTGCTTCATGGAAATGTCCTGCTGGGTCAGTACATGGAGAAAATCCATATCTCCTTTTCCAACATGTCCAGCAACTGCCTGCTGCTGATCAGATGTTAACAGTTACTCTCGTTTCCCCTTTAAGCTGGTCCATGTGCCCATATAACATTATGTCCAAAGGGCGAGTTTAATTCCCAATGTATGTTTCATGAAACCTCTTGACAGATGCTCTGTGGAAAAGGGGTTCTGTTGTTAAATAAATTTGGCACATCCTGCATCCCATATCCTCATTGGAAATTCATTCTTGTGGTCTCAGAGAAGGCCTGGGTGAGATAGCCGGTTCCCACACTGATGTCACCACCAAATCCTTTGGATACCTTGTGGAACACATTTTGGGGAAGTTTTTAGAAACATATTTCTCAAAATACCTTTCAGCTTTATAGGTTTTTCTATAACTACAGTCATGTGTTGCTTAATGATGGGATATATTCTGAGAAAAGCATTGTTAGGCAATATCGTTGTTTGAACATCATAGGTGCACTTTAACAAACCTTAGATGGCCTAGCCTACTGACACCTAAGCTGTATGGTAGCCTATTGTTCTTAGGTTACAAGCCTATACAGCATGGTACTGTATCGAATATTGCAGACATTGAAAAGGTACAGTAAAAATCAGGTATAAAAATAAACAGTGGTACATTTACCATGAATGGAGCTTGCAGGCCTGGAAGTTGCTCTGAATGAGCCAGTGAGTGAAGGGTGAGTGAGTCTGAAGATCTAGGACATGACTACACCACTGCAGACTTTATAAGCACTGTACACTTGGGCTACACTGAAGTGATAGAAACTGTTTTTATTTAATAATAAATAAACCTTGGTTTACTGTAACTTTATTTATAAACTTTTAACATTTTTAAAACTTTTTGGCTCTTTCGTAATAACACTTAGCTTAAAACACACATTATAAACTGTGCTAAAATATTTTCTTTATATCTTCTGCAGCATAAGCTTTTTCTGTTTTTAATGTTTTATTTTTCTTTCACTTTTTAAACTTTTTTATTAAAAGCTAAGACACAAACACACACATCAGCCTAGGCCTACACAGGGTCAGGATCATCAGTATCACTGTCTTCACCTCTACATCTTGTCCCACTGGAAGGTCTCCAGGGGCACTAACGGGCATGGAACTGTCATCTCCTGGGATGTATTTTTTCTTCTGGACCGCCTCCTGAAGGACCTACCTGAGCCTCTTCTTGAGGAGGTGTCACTCTTCAGAAAGCGCTAAGATGCTATGACAGCCCCATTGTCATCAGGCGATAGGAATTTTAATCTCAGGAGATCAGTGTCCTGTAAGCCATCTGTCATTGACCGAAATGTTGTGCAGTTCATGACTATATTCTTTCTAGACCCAGATTAGGCACACATGCTTTCAGCAAGTCTTTCATCCTTGTCTTTCCCACTAGTGAGCAGAGAGGACGTGTGGCTTAACTAGTAGAAAATGTGTGATTGTCCCACGGCCCTGAGGCCTGTAGGTTCATCTCCACAGTTTTGCTGCTTCCTTCAAAATAGTAATGACAATAATGAGGATACCTTTGTAAAGTGCTCTACAGAGTGCCTTCATGGACAATAAGTCATTGAATCCCTTCCATCCAGACCATCTCCTGAGGTTGGTAAGGGTATTACTGCAGTTATCCTAACATATGAGCAAGTGCAAACTCAGAGTTTCAAAGTATCCCATGATAAGTTGCAAAATGAAGACTCCTGGATCTCTTGACTTGTATGTATTGCCACCTTCTCAGTGTTACATTCTAATTTAGTCTGCTCCCCAAACTAACACTTGGCACCCTGCTTGCTCCTGTGGGGGCTCAACTTGCTTTTAACTGACACCGACGCACCAGTCTGCTTCCCAAACCCACTCAGCCACTTTATAAGGAAGCTGAGAGTACCGGGCTGGGGCTCCAGGAGTTGTGGGAATAGCTGGAATGTTCTTTGCTTTGTTGGGACTCTGGGCTCTGCAGTTTTCCATCCTGTATGCTGTGACAGCAGGTTTTAGGTTTGAAACGTGCCCAGGTGTTTTACATGTAAACACAATGTTCAGAAGATGTGTCCTCATCAACAGGGATTAAAAAGAAATAATATTTAATATAAGGTTGGTAGTAGTGCCTATGGACTCACTCTAGCCACCTTGGACCCTAAGCTGTCTGCTTCCTGAGGTCCTCTATGGTCTTTATTGTTTGTCCAAGTGAGAGGCATCATGGTTCCTACTTGGCTAACGTTAGGGAAGTAGTCAAAGCCCTCAATATGGCCTGCTTTTGTGTTCCCAGTTTGAGATGACCACCATTGATAGTAGGACTCTCTGCACACTTTTGAGTCATAGGAAATAGGGTGGAAACCAAAAATCTAAGATAATAAATAGTTTGTGATAATTTTACATATTTGCTATTTTCTTCATCTCTCATGTGCTGGGTTGCCTGAAATCAAACTATCCAATTCTTATACTAGAGTCACTATTCTAACAGCCTGAAACTTTAAACATTTTTTTAATGCAGCCATTAGTTGATTTTTAAAAACTATATTTTTATAGATTTCAGAGAAGGAGGGAGGGAGGGGGGAGGGGAGAGAGGGAGAGAGGGAGAGAAAAAAACATCAATGAATTGAACCATGACCTCCTGGTTCATAGGTCGACGCTCAACCACTGAGCCATGCTGGCTAGGCCATTAGTTGATTTTTACTGGACCTGAAGTACTGTCATACTACTTAGGTATCTGAGTTTCAAATGTAGCCTATCAGCTTGGTCTGTGATTGCACCTGTGTCTTCTCTGGGGATCTGCACAGCCATGAATATCTGACTGCTTCATTAAATCTTGTAGTTATGTTTGAGATTACAGGTTGAAATATACTTTTTAATATGCATAAATTTCACCTTACATCTCCTTTACATTACCTTGAGGGCATTAAATTGGTGTCCTTTAAGGCCCCTCTCCTAGGCTTGCTGATGGCTACCCTTTCTCTGTGTCTTCCCAGGACCTTTTCTCTGGTATGCATCCCTGGTGTCTCCTCTTCTTCCTATAAGGACACCAGCCATATTGGATTAGGGCTCTACCTTTATGACTTCATTGAATCTTAATTACTTCTTGAAAGTCCTGTTCCCAAATACTGTGAGTGTGGAGGGGAGGTAGGGGGAAGGATTTCAAGCAACAAAGACAGCCTCTTGGGGATCAGGTTCAAAGGAACCACCAGCTTGGTTCTCAATTTTGAAATCCCTGCCTGGTTGGCTTCTGGGAGAAGATAGGGGGCACCTCTCCTGAGAATGTGGCTGTATAAAGATTGGTTTGGTTATAATTTTGTCATTTAGTTGTCTGATAACTTCTTTAGGAAAAACTAGAAGTGGAATGTTTGAGATTTCCAGTGGTTGGAATTTTTAAGGCCACAGATAAATGGAACCAAACAACACTCCCAGAAAGCCTTGCCGACTTACCCCCCCCCCCCCCCCCAGCTTTGGAAGCCAGAGCTTTACAATGGGGTGCCAGAGCCTGAGTGGGTTACAGAAAGTGGCCTGCTGAGGTGATCACCTGTGTGTGCCCTGTTGTGCAAGCCCTGCATCCGAACCCTGTACAGCCCTAGATATTATCATTCTTTTTCATTATCACTAATCTGATTGATGGAGTAGCAATTCCTTGACGTTATATTGTTCATTTATTTAATTACCACTGTTTTTTATATGTTCATTATCCCATCACATTTTTTCTTTTGTTCTTTCTTTGTATTTTTGCTACTGGAGCTGTTGATTTTTTTTTTTACAGATTTGTAAGTACTACCTAGAAACTGCCATCAGAGGGCAGCAGTGCATCAGGGTGCTGAGGGTCTGGAGCTGGAATCTGAACCTTAAATATGTATTTTGCACAAAGGAGAGCCTGAGCCCTGAGATATTGACATCAGTGGACTCAGAAACTTAGGACAAACACAGACAAGGTGGTTAATTTCCTTTCCAAATTGAGTTGTTTTAAAATCTATGGATGGGGTAGAAACAAGAAGATGACTTTGAAAGGTCAAGACTATAGGTTCCAGAGTAATAACTGAATTCTGTCTGATAGGAGACATCAAGGATAGAAGGCACTTTTTGTGTGGTGGTGCCACTGCAGGGGTACTAGGTTGTTACCAGAATATGGTGTGTGTGTGTGTGTGTGTGTGTGTATATGTGTATACATACGTGTATATGTGCAGATGGCCTACCCCGCTCTCCAGAAAGGTAGCTGGATAAGCTTTCATATATACCAACCTGTCTGTATTGTTCTCAGTCTCATTGGGAAATTGAAGCAGCTGAGTAGGAAGGGTCTGGGTGGTGATGCAGAAATGTGGGGTTGGGGAGGGATGAGGACCTGTGAATGCTGCCCAGACCTCCTTTCACCCTTGGAAGCTAGATAAACCTCAGAGAGATGTGAAGCTCCTGAAATCATGTGCAGAATCATCTATGCACTTTAATCATTTTTAAAAATTTTAATTTTCAATCAATTATACATTCAGAAGTCGTTGAAAAAGAGTAGAGAGGCCTCTTGTACATTTCACCCAGTGCCCCTCAGTGGTAACATCTCCTATAATTTTAGTATAAGATCTAAACCAGGATGATGACATTGGTGCAATTCAGGCCTCATTTGGACACCATGAGTTTTACATGCACTTGTGCATGTTCATGATATTGTGGAGCTATGTGAGCGGCCCTGAACTCTCATCTTTTGGACTTCTTGATTTGTGCAAAAAGTATACCCATATTTATTTAAGTTATCATTAGTAGAGTTTTCTGTTACTTGCAGCCATAACATTCCAAACATACATACAGTTGCAGGATGCAGAAAACATAATGCAAATTGGTTTAATTAAAAAAAAAAAAGGAAGGGGAGGAATATTGGTTCATGTAATAAAATCCAGAGGAATAACTGAACTGACACCGGAGGCTCATGGAGAGGGGAGGTGTCTGAAAAGAAATTGGAGGTGCTATTTCCAGGGGGAGGGGAAATAGATGCTGGGCAGTAAACCACAGTTGTCCACTACCTCTAGCAGGGGTTTTGTGTCCCTCCTTGGGGGTGCAGTTCTTACATAAGGGGTGTGTGTGTGTGTGTGTGTGTGTGAGACAGCTGGGCAGAGAGCCCAGGAAGTCTCTAGCACAGTAGTGGTTCATGTCTCTAAGACCCTTCTGCTGCCTGTATGGTCTCTACATACCTCGGGATGTTGGGCTAGTCATGGCATCTCTATTCATCCCCACTGGCTTGAGGTATATC